CCGTTCGGTTCTGTTTTCAAAAACGTGTCCCCGATCCAGCCACTTGCTCTGCGGCCACTCTGTGTCACGCCACCATTATCTTCTGCTAGGTTTCTAGGACAGACTCTCACAAGTGATCTTGCGTCTGCATTTACTCTCTTCTTTCTGTTCTAGTGCAAGCACGGAGTGATCCTGTGAAATCAGGTAGATCAGGCTGCCTCTCGGCCTTCTCGGGCTAGCTCCTCCAGCTCAGCTCACAGCGCAGTTCATGCTCCACCCACATCCCCACCCCCCACAGCTTCCCAGATGCCAGACATTCAATAGCCTCAGGACCTGTGGGTTTGCTGCTCTCTACCCAGCATGCTCTCCTTCCAGATACCTGCACGGATCCATCCTGTCCTCATTAATTTTTATTCTCCTCCTTATTCCTCAGCAGACTCACTTAAACACAGTGTCCACCAGCAGTTTTTAACTCATCTTTTCTGTCCTAGTTTTTCCTAATTCTTTTCTTCTTCTTCTTCTTCTTCTTCTTCTTCTTCTTCTTCTTCTTCTTCTTCTTCTTCTTCTTCTCCTCCTCCTCTCCTACAAGACATCCTGACCACACTTTCCCCTCTTCTACTCCTATACCTTTTCATTTATTAGGGCCTGCGGTAGACAGGACCATTCCTGGGGCTTACTGGCCAGCAGTCCAGCCAAGCAGTGAGCTCCAGGATCAGGGAGAGACTCTGTCTCAAAAAGTAAAGGGTAAAGCAAGAGAAGAAGACACCTAACGTTGATCTTGGGCCTTCACACACAGATGCACACAAAAAGGCACAGACAAACAAAGTGCACACACACACACACACACACACACACACACACACACAAACACAAAAAAGGGGGATATGTAATGAACCTTTGATATAGAAACCCCATTTGATGGGGCCATTCTACAGATAAGCCACTACAATGTGCAATGACTTTTCTTTGAAGTCATTTCATAACAGAAGCATTCACGGCAGTAATAGACTAAAAACAGCCTGCATGTCCAAGAACAGGGAATGACTATGGCGTAGCCACATGCTGGAGCATTACGCAGTTGGAAGGAAATGAGGAAATTCTCTAACCCGGAGAGAAAATATGGAGGAGAGGAAATTAGGGGAAATACACAGCAGTGTCTACCCACTGCTTTCGTACATGCGTGAATGATAACATTTGTTGGAAAAGTAATACAAAACTACACGTGGTATTCAAAAGGGCGATGGGAGGGCACCACAAGAAGCCATGGAAATAAGACAAGGTCGATGGGAACAAGTGTGGGGGACACTTTTCAGTCACTGTGTGTTCAAATCACTGTCATTCTTTTTTACTTTGATAGAAGATAGTTTTCTCACATAGTTTATCCTGATTACAGTTTCCCCTCCCTCTACTCCTCCCAGCTCCTCCCCACCTCCCCTCCCGTCCAGATCCACTCCCTTTCTGTCTCTCGTTAGAAAACAAACAGGCTTCTAAGGGATGATAATATAAAATAAAATAAGATAAAACAAAAACTGACACATCAGAGTAGGGCAAAACAAACAGAAGGAAAAGAGCCCAAGAAAAGAAATGAGAAACAGACACAGACACAGAGACTCATTCATTCACACACTCGGGAATCCCATAAAAACACTAAACTGGAAGCCATAATATATATGCAGAGGACCTGTGGGGCAAAACAAAAAAGAGAATATATATTTTAAGTATCTGTGTGTTGTGTGTATGCATATATATAATAAAATAAAATTTTAAAATGAGATAATTTTTTTTAAAAAAGGGAAAAGCCCTGACATGACGTTATGAGACAAGGAACCTCCAAAGACGCCATTGAGTGTGTTCTCTGCTGGCCATCTACCACTGGGCATGCGGCCCACCATTAAGAGGAGTTTGTTTCCCCAGTGAGACTCTCTTGGAGAAAAACTAAATTTTCATTTGCAAGTAGCTATTAATGGGAGATGGCTTCTGGGTCAGGGAGGCGGCCATGTGTTCACTTCTCCTTTCAGCCCGAGACCCCATTGGCTACAGACCCACGTAGTCCCCGTGCATGCTGCCTCAGTCGCTGTGAGTTCATGTGTGTTGGTCATTGATTTAGAGGGCCCTGTTTTCTTTTGTCCCCCAACTTCTCTGTCACTTCCACTCTTTTCAGGTCCTCTTCCTGCCTCCTCTTCCACGGGCTTCCCTGAGCCCTGAGGGGAGGGATTTGACAGAGATGCCGCATTTAAGGATAAGTGTCCCAAGTCTCTCACTCTCTGCATAATGAAATGTCTGGTTGTGGGTCTCTGTATTTGTTCCCATCTGCCGTAGAAAGAAGCTTCTTTGATGGAGGCTGAACGAGGCTCTAACCCATCAGTTCTCAACCTGTGGGTTGTGACCCCTTGAGGGGTCAAACAACCTTATTATGAAGGGGTTGCCTAAGACTATCTGCAGATCAGATATTTACATTACAATTCATAATAACAGTAGCAAAATTACAGTGATGAAGTAGCAATGAAAATAATTTTATGGTTGAGGTTCATCAAAACATGAAGAACTGTATTAAAGGGTTGCAGCATTAGGAAGGTTGAGAACCACTGATGTAATCTATTAGTATTCCAAAATGTCATTAGGAGTCAATTTATTGCTATGCTTTATTTTTATTTATGTATTTATTTTAAAAACTGTGGTATTTGGGTTTACTCTAGGTCCCCAGGCTATCTCAGGTTCATGGTCACGCATATATGGGTTCATCTTATGGAGTAGACCTTTAGTCAGATCAGACGTTGGTTGGTTACTCCCACAAGCTTTGTGCTACCCTTGCACTAGCATATCTCACAGGCAGGACAGCACTGTAGATCAAACCATTAGTGTCTGGCTTGGTGTCTGTGTTTCTCCATTGGTAGCTTGCAGAGTACCTTGCTGTACCAAAGACACCACTAGAACATAGGGGTGAAGGCTCTTTGTAGGCACCAACTCTACTTCTCCATGTTCAATGAGTTGTATAGGTGTTGTCTTTAGCAATGGGGACTTGCCATCAATTTGTGGAGAGCAACCTATAGTCTACAATAGCCTGGGTTGTTTTGGGGGTTCCCGTGGGACCCCTTTGGCCAACAACTCAATTAGATGTAACACAATCCTGGGACTTGAAGCTTCATTTGGTGACAATAGATGGCCAGTTGGGGCTCTGTCTCCCCCATTATTTGGCTACTTCATTTAGCTCTCCTTCATTTATGTATATATTTTAGGAAGCTCTGCTGTATTAGGTTTCCATACTATTCCTCAAATGGCCCTTAATTTTAGGTGTCTCTCCCATATTCCCTCCCTCATCCTCCCCTTTCCTCTCCCTTCTCTTTTGATCCTCCTGTTTCAGCCCCCATCCATCCATCCGTATATCCATCCATCCATTTCTCTTTCCTAGGGACATCTGTCTGCACCCACTTACTCTATACCTAACTTCTGTGGATTGTAGCTTGGTCATCATTGACTTAATGGCTAATATTTACATATACGCGAATACTTATTGTATTTGTCTTCTGGGTCTGGGTTACCTTACTTGGGATAACTTTTTCCAGCTCCATCCATTTGCCTGCAAATTTCATGATTTCATTTTTTAATGGCTGAGTTCCATTGTATAAATGGACGACATTTTCTTTATCTACTCATCTTTTGAGGGACATGTAGGTTCTTTCTGATTTCTGGCTGTTACGAATAGAGCAGCAATAAACATGGGTGAGCAAGTGTTGCTGTGGTGGGATGAAGTGTCCTTTGGGTATACTCCTGAGAGAATCACGGTCTCTTTTTAAAAGGTAAAGGAAACACAGACACACGTGGTGAGCAGTGACCTCATGAGACCCTAACCAGTAACAAGAGGCAGCAGTGAGTCCTAGCCAGTGAAGAATGGGCAAATCAATTGGGGTTTATTATTTGCAATGTATGTGGGCTACATTTTAGAGTGGTACTTTAGACTACTTCCTGGTCAACTAGCACCTTGGAGCCAGCCTTAACGTACAAATACCACAAATGATAACCAGTGGCCATCCTTCACTAGCCAAAGGCAGCAGCAAGGAATTTCATCCCATCTGTGCATTAGAATGAGATTCCGGTGTGTTTTTCCTAACGGTGACACCACTCCTTCTAAATCTCAATTATGTGGGACCTTGTCATTGTATTATTTAGGTCATTGTGGATGTGACTGTATACACACATATGCTGGTATAAACAGAGATAGTTAATTAAAGAAAGAGAAAGACAGCCCTAAGAATGTGTGCAAGCTGGGAAAAAGCATAGGCTCAAAAGCCTAGTTTATTTTTGAATCTGGTCTTTGATCATAAATAATAAATAATATATCCCATTGCTTATATATGAAAATAGTAGTCATCTATTCTAATTGTCTTTTGATAAAAGAATTTCCCTTGAACTTAACATTGCCAACATCTTCTGAAGTTATTTGAATTCCACTCATGTGGATTACTTTTCTTTCACAACTGGTCTAAGTCTTCTAATTCCAGAATTTCGGATCACAAAGGAATGAATGGAAATTACGTCATCCTCAGTTGGCTAAGCTGGAGAAAGCTGGAGAGCTTAGTTCCTAGATTTTGATCCAAACTGAGATGTTAACTTAATTCGGGTGGATGTTTGGTCTCTAACATTCCAAAGACTACCTGGAAAAAGATGGTTTTTGTATATGGTGATGTCTTCTCTATCACTTCCACCCCCACAGGAGCACAGTGAATCCTGAACGCTGACGTTTCAGATCTCTTGGTGCTGACTCAGGAGAGCAACTGTCAGTCATCTTTGGGATGTCATTTGTATCTGTGTTTGCTGCCAAAATGTTTCTCTTGTCTTTGGCAGCCCTTGTGAAACTCACAAAAGCCTGATAGTTTGGTTTCTTGATTGGCTGCCATTTCTTTCTTAGGTCCTTTTTTTTATTTTTTATTAATTTTTTTTTTGGGGGGGAGAAGGTTTAAACAAAAGGTTTTTTTTAATCTTTTGATTAAACATAATATTCTGCTTTGTTATTCCCTTTTTAGATTGAGAAGAAATGTTGAGACTCGAATAAAGCTCTCTTGTATGCCCCACAAGTCCGCCATGGGTGTTGGGAAGTCTAAACTAGATAACTGCCCCCTTTCTTGGCATAAAAGACACAGTGTGGATACAGATCAAGACTGCCATGAGTCAGAGACCGGGAAATTGAAGGATGTGTCCTTGCAAGGTTTTGTGGAGCATGGCAATAAAACAGGACAGCCAACAGGAGAGCAGGAGGGAGCTGAGGCAAAGGGAGAGATGCCTGAGGAGGACGCTGAAGAAGAAGTGTTCCTCAAATTCGTGATACTGCATGCAGAACATGACACAGAGGAGGCCCTCAGAGTCCAGGATCTACTGCAAAATGACTTTGGTATCAGGCCTGGAATAATTTTCGCCGAGATGCCGTGTGGCAGAATGCACTTGCAGAATCTAGATGATGCTGTAAATGGGTCTGCTTGGACGATCTTGTTACTGACTGAAAACTTTCTAAGAGACACCTGGTGTAACTTCCAATTCTACACTTCCCTGATGAATTCTGTGAACCAGCAGCACAAGTACAACTCCGTCATACCCATGCGGCCCCTGAACAGCCCTCTTCCCCGGGAAAGGACTCCCTTGGCGCTACAGACCATCAATGCCTTAGAAGAAGAAAGCCGAGGCTTTTCTACGCAAGTGGAGAGGATTTTCCAGGATTCTGTGTACGAGCGGCAGCAAGCTGTGTGGAAAGAAACACGAAGTGTGTTGCGAGGACAGTTCATTGCCTGAGACGAAGCACACACCCGGCTGGCTCCTGTTCTGTAAACAAAATGATTCATCCTCACTTGAGAAAGCAGTGTCTCAGAAATGCTTCCATTTGAGTGGGTCTGCTTCCAAGAAATCTGTAGAGCGCAAGAAAGGTACATTTCTGCAGGCCTAGGATTGTAGAAGTCTCTGATGGTAAACTCAAGATAGTCAGTTTCTAGCACTTTTTTTTTGTAGTTTTCATAGTTCATGAATATTCTTAACTCATTTCTTTTGTTGAACCGTGAACAGGTGTGTATGATAGACATTTTCAAAATTCGAAGTTAAAAATCCTAAAAAGACATGAAGAAAATGGCTCCGACCGTGAGAGGTCTACCTTCCTTCCTACTTCCATCGTGAATGTTACCGAAAAGCATCCTGGTGCCGCCACCTAGAAACGTGGATGGCCAGATTGGGACATGCGCAGTGTGGATGCACACAAGTTGTAGATCAGAAGCAGATGTCAGAACGGTCAGGCTTTTGAAAATAATCCAGCCACATGTGGTTTTGTTTCTGCTGGAGTTTGGAACCAGTTCCCGCCACAAATTAGCAATCCTTTTGAGAGTGTGGTAGCTGGGGACTCTGTGGAGCTGTCCCCTGACCTTGTTAGTTGCCATCTGTAACCAGGGTTTTATTTGCAGAGCTTGTGAATGGTATGTGATTCACTAGCTGTTTGCTTTTAAAAATCAATAACCTCTTAGGTTAGCCTTTAGAAATGTCCCTCACACACAGTGTTTGACTTGGGGAGGCTTATCTAGGGGTGGTCGGACTGTGAGTGTGTGTGTGTGTGTGTGTGTGTGTGTGTGTGTGTGTGTGTGGTGTGATGTGTGTATGTGTGTGTGTGTATGTGTGTGTGTGTGTGGTGTGGTGTGTGTGGTGTGTGTGTGTGTGAGTGTGTGTGTGTGTGTGTGTGTGTGTGTGTGTGTGTGTGGTGTGGTGAGTGTGTCTGTGTGGTTGTGGTGTGTGTGTGGTGTGATGTGTGTATGTTGTATGTGCAGAGACTGTATTTTTACCAGCTTCACTTTTAGGGCCTAATGTACATAACAAGCCAGGGAGGCCCACCCGAACCTGTACCTTTCCCTCGTAGAACTTCAGCCCATTTGAGACGGAAACAGTGCAAACAAGTACAGACTGAGCATGTGGCTAAGGGTGAGTCATGTCAAATAATGAGAAAGTGCCCACTGGGAGCCAGGAGACCTACTTGCAAGCCAATCTCTGCCACTGAGGATGAATGTGCCAGTGGGCAGCTATTCTCCTTTGTCTACGAAATGAAAGGGTTGGATTGATGGATCTCTAAAGGCTTTTGTCCTCTCCCAGGATGGGATAACTGGAAGCCAGAAAGCAATAAGCAAAGCCTTAAATGTTTATGAGGTGTGATTATTTATAGTGTGATCGTTGCAGAAGACATATGTATGCTTACAATGAATGGATATGTTTGTATATTTTCATCATAATTGATTTTTAATGACAGTCACAGAAAAGAATCTATATATTCTTATTCAGGTTTTTGGTTTTGTTTTATTCAGGGTCTCACTGTGTAACCCTGGCTGGCCTGACACTTGCTGTGTAGACCAGGTTGGCATCAAACTCACCGATCTACCTGCCTCTGCCCTTGAAAATGCTGGGATTAGAGGTGTGCATCACCACATGCAGCTACTCAGTTTTTTTTTAAAGATGTATTTTTTTTTATAGGAACCATGAACAAAGACATTCTTCCTAGTTCATGTGTCTCCTGGTCCTCACTTCTCTGGATCCCCTACTGCCACTGTTCACTTCTTTTTAGCCACAAGCCACTGTGCCCCACAAGGATCCTGCAGATCAGTCAGATCTCGTTTGGTTCCCAGAGAAGGTGATGGCCTTCATGGAATTTTCTCAACCTTCTTTGCCATGGTAACTTACTACCCACTTTTCTTTTTCAGTTTTAGAAAGTATCCCTTTGTTATAATTGTTATTATTATTATTGTAATGCTTTCTATATAACAATGTCATGTAACAATAAAACATTAACCACCCACCCTTCACATGCCTGCCAAACTGGAATCAATGCCGGGTGGCATTTCTTAAATAAATGTTTTTATTCTTTATGGTTAACTAATTGTCCTTCTCATCTCCATTGAGGACTGTGGAAAAGTATTCAGAGAAATAGCAATCTTTATTCCTAAGAGAGCATGACACAATGTACCAGTAAGCCTGGAATCCAGCATTTTTTTTTTATTTTATGATTAAGAACTAAATGTACTGAGTAATTGTAGGTGTTGAAATTATGATCATCAAAATAACTAATGATAAAAGGAGGCAGAGGTGTGGGCCTTATGGGGGGGGTCTGTGTTTATGTGCGCATATATAGCTTTAGATATAAACACCAACCATTCTGAGAAACTCTGCCATATGCCAGCAAGTTGTCATCCTGGTACCCTGTGCCACCTACCTGGAGCTGCTGTAGAATGATCTGAGGTATGCCTGAATTAACACTTCTCCATGACCTAAAGAAAAAGTATAGTTTATCACCAGGCATGGTAGTGCATGCCTTTAGTCCCAGCACTTGGGAGACAGAGGCAGGCAGATCTCAGTGAGTTCGAGGCTAGCTTGGTCTAGAGAGTGAGTTCCAGGACAGCCAGAACTGTTACACAGAGAAATCCTGTCTCGAAAAACCAAAATAAATAAATAAATAAATAAATAAATAAATAAATAAGAAGAGTAGTTTATCTAACTTAACAGGGCATACTAGATAGTCTGGTGGCTTAATGAAGTCACTCAAGACCCAAGTTATTTCATGTAGTGGAATATTATATGACTTTAAAAATAAAAAAATTCTGACATATGCTAAAACATAAGTGAACATTATGTTTAAAAAGAAAAATATTGTATGATTCCACATATATGTGGTAAATTCATAGAGACAGGATAGTAGAGACAGAGGCAGAGGCTGTGGAGTGAGAAATAGGATATTAATTTTTCAATAGCTAAAGAGCTTGGTTTGGAGTAATGAGGGAGTTCTGGTAAAGCCTTGGTTGTGTACATCATGAATGGACCTAATGCCATAAAACTATGCTTAAAAGATGATTGAAACAATACATTTCCATAGGTGCATTTTGCCACAATAACTTTAAAAGTAAATAACAACAAAACCCAACAAGTACAAGCCCAAGGTCGTCCTATCTTTTTTGCTTGGCCATTCTCAGTTTCTCAGTTGAGTTTTCCTCCGAATTGTGTTGTGGCTGCTCCAGGTTGGACCCGCACATAGACAACACAGTATGCAGCCTACTAAGTCCAGAGGAGTGGTCCACCCAAGAAAATGTCTCATTACTGTGTTATTAAAAATTAATAATAAGTACTGAAGATCCATTCTGACTTCTGGATGATTTTATTGGTATTTTCTGCTTGTCATTGGATGAACTCTTTCTGCCTTATCTGCCTCACCACACCCTGGAACACTGCCTTGAAATCAAACTACCTGGATTTGAATCCCAGCTTGGCCCTCTATTAATTTTTTCCAGAAATAGCTTTATTTTAAGACACACAGAGTATTTTTTTAATTAAACAAAATTTGGATCTGAAGGCTAAATGTTTTAAGTGTTAGCTCAATCATCATTAAAATGGGGCAGTTAGTAGAACCTTGCTAAAACTAACATTAAAGCATGGGTGAGGGCCAAGAAAGCTACACAGAGGACCACTGCTGTGTCCTTGGGCCACTATAACAGAACTCCTCAGACTGGACAGTCTGTACAGAAAAGATTGCTCACAGTTCTGAAGCCTGAGAAATCCAGGGCCAAGGATGTCTTAGGGTTTCTATTGATGTGACGAAACCCCCTGAGGCTGGAGAGGAAAGAGTTTATTCAGCTTACACTTTCACATGCTGGACACTACCAAAAGAAGTCAGGACAAGAACTCAAACAGGGCAGGAGCCTGGAGGCAAGAGCTGATGTTGAGGCCATGGAGGGATGCTACTTACAGGCTTGCTTCCCCTGGCTTTGCTCAGCCTGCTTTCTTACAGAACCCAGGACCACTAACCCAGGGATGGCACCACCCGCAATGGGCTGGGCCCTCCCCCATTGGTCACTAATTGAGAAAACACCTTACAGCTGGATCTCATGAAGACATTTTCTCAACTGAGGCTCCTTCCTCTCTGATGACTCTAGCTTACATCATTGATACAAAACTAGGCAGTACAAGGCACTAACAGATTTGGTGTCTGGTGAGGACAGTTCTTTGCAGATGGCACCTTCTTGCTGCATCCTCATATGGAAGAAGAGGAAACAGAGGAAGTATCTTTAGCCAGGACATGAGTCCTATTCTTTTTTTTTTTTTTTTTTTGAGTCCTATTCTTAAGGGCAGAGTTCTCCCCCCCCACCACCCCGCCCCAACACTCTCTCAAAGGCTGACCTTGTAACACCATCATACTGTGGACTGAGTTTCCACCTTGTAATTTTGGGTGTTCACACATGTAGTCAGCCATCAATAAACCTTACTGAATCTCAGGGTCCTTCTCTAAAAATAAAGATAATACCCACAAGAAAGAGTCACTCGAGGACTGTTGAGTGGCTCACACGTTGTCCTAGCTGGCTATCTGTTGCTGGGACAGAGCACTGACTAATACCAAGTAGGGTTTATTTCATCTCACAATTCCCAGGTCACAGTCCATCAGTGAGAGATATTGGGACAAGAACACAAGGCAGAAACCTGGAGTCAAACACTGAAGCAGAACCACAGAGGAACATTGCTTCTGCTCTCCAGGCTCATGTTCAACTACCTTTCTTAGTATCTCCCAGGACCACCCGCCCAAGGGTGGTACCGCCCCCAGTGGGCTGGGCCCTCACACATCAATCATTAACCAAGAAAATACACCACAGATTTCCCTACAGGCATTTTTCAATTCAGGGTCCCTCTTCCCACATGACATGACACTTGTGTCAAGTTGACAAACAAAACAACAAACCCAAACTAACCAACACGAAAGCGCGCGCGCACACACACACACACACACACACACACACATACACGCACACACGCACACACTCACACACACTATATCCATGCTACTAGCACTACCATTATTTAGCACATTTAACCCACAACATGAGAGGGGGAAGAGGGGAAGAAGAATGTGTTTCATCTTACCCACAACCCTATTCTTAGAACCATTGCTGCTTGTAGGGGACAGATATAAAACAAAGGAGAGACTGCTGGGCCTTCTTTGCAAGTGAGGTATATATAGCTGCACTGGTGAGAGAGAGCAGCCCCCCGATCTGCCAGGGGTGTGCAAGCTGGTTATTAGTGGTGGAATTTTGCACGGAGAAAGCTGGGAGTAAGGACGGTGCCTCAGCGGGGTCGCACTCATCTAGCAAATCGGAAAAGTTGGGCCATCAACTAGGAACGCAGAGAAATGGAGTATAGGAGTACTAATCTTGGAGCCACTCAGGGGAAGAGTAGCTCAGGTAGGATGCCTTCAGCTCGGCTTTGTGGATTAACTGCACATGTTTATACTTGGGGAGATGGGCTATAATCCATTTGATTTAGCCTTTTATGGTGCTCAGCCCGGAGAAGTTGTCTCCCTTAGGAGTGGGTAGAAGTTGACTGACTCCCTTGAGTTGCAGGAAGAACAGTCATGGGGCCCCTTTGCTCCTTGCTCTCCTATCTTATCTTCCAATTCAACAACTTGGTGCTGGGGCTTTCCCAGGACAAGACAGTGCTGTTTATCTTAGCCCTTGACTTTGCCTTTGCAAATCCCACGGCCTTGGGGTGAGGCTGAACCCTCCTGACTTCATGCGGCATCTGCTGCTATCTTCAGAAACAGCTTCCTTGAACCCTTGCACCACCTCACTACAGCT